GGAATAGCTTTAATATAGAAAATTTAAATATTGTTGTTTAGTTTTAATGTTATACACAAGTTCATAAAACTTTCACATAGCAACATAAGTTTTGTACAAGTCTGTGTGAATTTAGAAAGGTGAAAATAAAAGTCACAAATTTTTATATCACATATAATAACTAGCTTTTATGTGTGTTCTGAACTATAACATTTAGCAAGCATAAGTAACTAACTTGTGTAAAAATTGTATGCAAAGTAATTGCTTTGATATGTATGCATCTTGCGCCAAAAATTAAGTTACATCGTTGGTAGTGTTTTAAAATGAAACGTGAATGCAAATATACACCACACCACTATATAAATACTACATATTCATGTAAAGGTGCTTGATTTTCTGATAAGTCTTAATATTCAGCAAAACTGTGAAGCAAAACTGTCAGAACATATTTAAAGACTATAACTGACAGTCATCTGTCATTATAGTAACAGATGGTTCTTACACCACAGATAAGCGAGAGAGCTGGTTGGGAATTCATCATCTCACGAAGCAACAACATAAATTCTACATAAGACTGATGAAGCAATCATGCTTCCCACAAGCAACACAAAGATGGAGCTAGAAGCCATAAAGCAAATTCTCCTTTGGATTGCTGTAAGCAATGAATCACAAACAGACATAGCAACGAACATAATACTTATGACTGACTCGCAGGCTATAGTGCATAAAATTCAGAGGAGTTAGTAACCAGATAGATGGTAGAAAGCAAAACAACTTCGTGTTAAGACCATCATCTGGACGTATGTACCAGGCTATATAAGGGTAAAGCTAAACAAGAAAGCTGACAAGCTCACAAACCTTTATATTAAATCCGGCACAACTCTACTGGTAGAACACCAGCTTCTTCTGCACTAGTAAGGCGAAAATGACAACCTTGGTAAATATTTATCAACAGTTCTTATATCTGAGATATATAAGTTAAGTGAAATACCTACAGGAGTCTTAAATGTTAAAAATGAGACTGAAAAGTCAAGTGACATACCTACAGTAACTACACTCAAAGACTCCCAAAAGTGGTAACCTAAGCAAAGTTTATACTCCGAGATTTCCAAAGAGAGTTAAAACTAAACAAAGATTATATTCAGAGATTTCCAAGAGGGGTAAAATAAACAAAAATTATAGCCAGAGTTTCTCAGATGGGGTAAATTAACAAAAATTACGACCAGAGTTTCTCAGATGGGGTAAAACTAAACGAAAATTATACCCAGGAATTCCCAAGAATGGTGACTATTACGTCTGATTCTCCAAGCAAGAATATTCCTGAAAATAAACGTAAAATGCATTATCAATAAATTAATTTTCATTGAGTCTCGCACTGAAACATTGCTTAAATTAATTCCTGATCTTAATACTTTCTTTTTTGATTTTATATATAGAAGACCAAATGTACTGTCAATGCAATGATATTCCACATATTATTTACTAGCTGATGTTCCATTTCAATGTACGGAAATGAGGGAGGCCAAATGCCACCCCCACCCATGTCAGTCTCAGGGGAGCCCTAAGGGTAACGCAAGTTTTGGTGACAATCAGACTAGTAGTTCGCCAGTTATAAGAGAACATACACACAAACACACAGCCTTTTTTTTTTCAAATATTGGTTTAAATATAAACTCAACATGTATATACTATCTATTTAATATGCAAGCACAGCATGTGTTTACTATTAACTTTAGTGACATGGATATTTTAAAAACTATTTGGTTATTTAGTTCAATGCTCTATATTGTCGGCAATACGTGATCCAGTAAGTTAAAATTACCTTGTTCTAGCCGCTTTGCTTCTTTGTTTTCTACAGTAGATAATGTCTATTCTACTCGAGAGGACATTGTAGTGACATATAGCATCCTAGTTAAAATAATTTACACTGTAATATTCTTTGCTGACAAGTGCGACGTTGTCTGAACGATACAGCCAACAAATGCTGTGAGAGAACAAAGGCCACGAGATGACGTTGTAAAATAAGCTAAAAAACAAACAAACGAGTTTATTTGCTGAACTTAGACGTGTTTTCTTTGTTCAGTTATTCATGATTTCCATCGTTAATCTTGAGGGACGGAAATCTGGCGAGCTATTTACTGATCTAGTAGAGGTGATCGTCCACTTGTTTGTGCAGGTACACACACTGTTTTCGTTGTGTCTAAATAAAAATTGTTTTCACTGTCCTTCTAATGTACCCAATAGCTTTATTTCTCACACAACTTAAAACTAGGCTATCACATTTTCACCTACAGAACAGTCTTTTTATTCTTGATCGAATCTGCAAATATTTCCTTATTTGATTATCTAATATTAGTGGAGAAGTTGGTTTTACCTTAAAATAAGTTAAGTTCCTCAAAATTACTGTTTTAATTTAATTGTGACTAAAGGCCTATCGATATCAACATCTGTAGTTAGGATTTTATCCATCCGTGTACCTATACTGTAAACATCACTAAGTTAGTGTTTACCTAGCTAGGATATTTATGCAGTAGTGAAACTATTTGCCAACTGAGAACGCATGTCATAGTATATGTTTATCTAATCGTATTCAGTTTGAAATCCAGTAATTCGTTGTTTCTAAATATGAATATCCAAACCATCATTCAGAATACATACTATTAAAATTGATATAATCTATAAAATTCCTCTTTCGTAAACAAGTTTAAACACTGATACATCCTTTCCTCAGATGGTCATCATTTCACAAAACATGAGACAATTCATAAAAATATTTTAGTACACAATTTCATAAATATTCTGGTTCTCCTGCTGCTCCAGCAGTAAACTTAAGGGCTTATAAGTCTGAATTCAATTCCTCGCAGTGAAACAGAATAAATAGCCAATTGTGTAACTGTGCGCTTAAAATAACAATAAAGAATAATCAGGATGCTCTGAGAAACCAAATGTACAACTGATGTTATTACATCACATGCTCCAACATCTATAGTGGCATTAATAGATGACTAAATCCGCCTACCATGTAAAAACTAATTTCTGCACTACTTCAAATTGAGCAGTTAATTAATGATAGCCGAGACCTATGCATAGGTTAAACGATAGTTTGTCAATTTAACATTTTATTTGTATTTATAATAACATTCATTACAATTCCCCCAAAAAACTTGCAAATACAGAAGTTATATCTTGAATCGGCTATTCTTAGACAGTGCAACTAAAATTCATATATCCAGTATGATAATCAAATCTGGCTGTCTACTCATTTTTGTTATTGTTATGAAATGTACCTGGAAATCTTTGAAATGAGTGTTAATTATTATATTAAATAAAATCTTTAGTTAAGAATCTTTGTCTCTCAGGAGTTATAGTTAAATATCCAAATATAAAGTCTCAAAGAGTAAAAGTGTGATTTGAATTCCCATACGGCATAACCTTAAGGCAAACGTGGGTAAGTACTTTCAGCTACAAAATGATCACGTTAAGTTATCTGTCTAGGTAACGATAGGTTGTTATATCTATAGTACAGATATATATTCTTAGCTGACCTTATCTAATATTTTATCTTGTCAGAAACCTGTATATCAGTCGTTATGTAGTATGTACGCATAACATGCCTTTCCTACCCTCATATTTTAATGTAGAATTTTTCAAAATGTTTCATTTTGTGTTTATACAATTTTTGCATAACATGTTCCTTTGTTTTCTCTGGAGATAATACCTGTTCCGCCAGTAAAATATATTGCTGTAACGTTGCATGTTGTTCTGGTAGTCAGATGATATGTCGAGGTTACAACCTTTCCTATGTCAAATGAGAGTGACTAGTCACGTGGATAGAACTAATCACTATGGGTAAATCCGATGTTACCAATTCAGTAAGAAATATTAGATTTAAACATTAATACACAGGATCTAAGGTGAGGGAAGGAAATCTGTTAATAGAATCATAAGTTCAGTAGATGGCGATTGTCCAATTCCAAACACCATTGGGCACACTGAATTTTGTTTCATTGATATAATAAAGTGTTTTAATTTTGTGTTACATATCATCTCTAGTCTCTTTATTTTTTAACTTTACACTCAGTCTTCCCATTATAAAAATGATCTACTAATACTCCTCGAGGGATTCAGGGTAATAAGAAAAAAACAGTTATCGAGTTATGTTTGGTAAAAAACAGGATTAATTGCTATATGGTTAAACAATGCCTTAGACTGGGATTGTTATCAGTTGTTGTATGATCAGTTGATGGAATTCAGATTAATAAGAAAAAAACAATTATCGAGTTATGTCTAGTGAAAAACAGCGTTAATTGCTATATGGTTAAACAATGCCTTAGACTGGGATTGTTGTATGATCAGTTGATGGAATTCAGATTAATAAGAAAAAACAATTATCGAGTTATGTCTAGTGAAAAACAGCGTTAATTGCTATATGGTTAAACACTGCCTTAGACTGGGATTGTTATCAGTTGATAATATATGTCTACTTAAGGACATCTATCGGTTGTTAGGTAATAAAAAATACTTGTATCTGTGTATCCCATATGACTACATTTTTGTAGAAAAGTATCTGCAGTTTATTATTAACTACAGTATTTTATTAAATTTTAGGACCAATATCATCATTTGTAGTTTATAAATTCACCTGTCTCTACTGTTAGCAAGGTTACATCAGTTCCACTAAAAGAAGATTGATAACGTGAGTAAAAAAACATGCTAATTTCAGATCCCTCATTAAGCCTAGTATACTTGAACATGCCTTAAGAGTATGTGATGTTGTCGTTTAATTTTCCTTAAGATCATAGCAAGGACTAATGATGAACAGAACCTCTACATAAAAGAGAGCCTACTCATTCACAAGCTGAAATCTGAGATTGATGTCAAAGAAGCTGATAATAAACTGTTTTTACTTGTATCTGTTTAGTTCGAGATGCATTTTGTTTGATAGCTAACAGTAACTTAAAAAATGGTTATAATCTTAGGACGTGCCTCATAATTTAATATAAGTTTATTTTCATATATACAGTTATATCCTATATTTAAATTTCGAATTACAAAGTGATTCCATTTGGTAGATTAACATTTTATAATAACATAAAAATTCAAATAGTTTGAAGAATATTTAGTTTGCATGTCTACTCTCGTAAGCATTACTAACATTGATTATAAATCAAACATAATTAAAACAGTTACAAAATATCTTCCTTCTATTTGTGTTTAAATCACTTCGTTGTTAACGCCTTAGTGACTTTTCAAGCTTCTTCCACATCTTTGCATTGGCGTTTTTCTTTCAACATGACTTTTGTCAGGGGTAGCAACCTCTGTCCTACATAAGTCGTCCATGCGCTGACGCAATGCATTAAGGATACTTCTGTTTCCATCATGTTGAATACAGTGATCTACAAAGTCTGGACCCATAATTTCTTCATCAACAGTCATTCTCAAACCTAGAGTGATTTTAACAAGCTAAAAAAATAAAAGATGTTAATATCGTACAAATCATGAAAAAATATCTTAACAGCCATGTAAACAATTACACAAACTTATGTGCAGAAGGCTTGATTTCCAAAAAGATAATAATTCTTATGAGTAATGTACACTAGTGAATTATAACATCTTTTGCTGGATGACGCAGTTTAAACACATAGTATCTGGTGTGCCTTCCAAAGATAAGTATGGAATAAACAAGAATCGTAGTTTAAATATTTAATGCTTAATCTTATTACCTAGTGCCTGAATAAATGCTGAAGCTTAGAGTCCAATTGTGTTTACAAATAACATAATTTAATTGAATTGTATTTATTTTTTTCTTCTTACGTTTAGAAGAATGACTGATGTAACCACACTCCAGCAAATCAGAACACCTGCTGAAAGAGCTTGTACACCTAGTAGTTGCCAGCCGCCTCCAAAAAGTAGTCCAGATAGTCCACGTGTATAGTTCCTTAAGAAATCACGCTCGCTCAACAGTCCAATGGCTAGCATACCCCACAAACCTCCAACACCATGAACAGCAAATGTGTTAACTGGGTCATCAATATGCAGCCAGTCAATGATTGGAATAGCCAGAAGCACGAATAGTGCTCCTAATCCGCCAATCACTAGCGCCTCCCAAGGTCGAAGTATAGCACAACCCCCTATAAAGTGGAAAAAAGAAAAACCATTGATAAATAAATATAACAAAAAAAAAATGTTTAAATGTACTTCATCTTTCAGGAAGAAATGTTGTACGTATATTTGGAATACAATATGCAGTGATTATAATGACATACATTCTGCACTAGTTGAGAAGAATTAAGATAGGGCTTAAGTTTGGATGTCTATTCATTACCAATAAATTTTCTATGGGTAGTTAAGATTTTGAAAATATCAATGGAAATAGAATGGTTGCTTTTTTATTGTTTATAAGGCTACAAGAAACACTGTCTATATGTATAGAGGAAAAATTAAGACTTCAGAGTTTCTGACTTGTATGTTTGAAAATGTAGCAAATGAAATTGGCAGAACGAGAATATTCTGAATCCTGTAATCTCAGCTTAGATGATAAAATTATTGAAACTAAAGAACCTCATATTCTAACTTGGATAACATTTATTGACAATATATTTTCAAATTGGGCAAGGATCTTTGAAGATTGTGGAAACTTCATTACTGCTGCTATGGTACAGAATATATTGTTACCATCAGTTTGCTATCCCTCTTAGATATGATTTAAATTCCGTTGAAATGGTTGTTTTCATAGATTCTAGCTTGAACAATAAGTCATCCAATAGACACCTCAATTCTCCTTCTTTTGGTGCATACAAGATGTATGTTTTTTGCAGGAAAGATAGCACATGATGTCCAGAAATCGAAAGTCATTTCTCTGTTGGTGAATCAAATATTAGTTAGAGGCTGTTATGCCATAGTGCTCAATTCAGTGGAAAAAATCACGTATGCAAGGTTCATTTGCGTGAAAAACCTAGCTTTGTTATTGCAATTATATTTCGTACTTAAAGTTAGGTTTGTCCCTTTAGGATATATAACTTTGTTTCTAGCTTTAATTTCAGCAAACATTTTGTGTTTTGATTCCACATTAGAGTGTACTGTTCACTGTAACTTGAGACACTCTTAAGAGTGGGTTACATCGAATTAAACCTTGAGAAGTTTAACTGTTTTGTTGAGGTTTTGCTCTTTGTTTAAACATTAACTTTAGATTGCTTTAAGTTTGATTTTGGATTTATCTTTTGATTTATCTCAATATGAGTTTGAAGTTTAACATAAAAAGGAAGCAGATGGACTTGTACTTGTTTTCTTGCATTTGTCTGTTTGTCATTGTGAATAAAGATAATTGTTATAGTACACCTTTTGACTTCAAGTATTTCTTCCCAGTAACTTCCATTAGAGATCGGAGAGATACATTTAATGGTTCAGTATCCTTTCGACTTCCAGATAGTGGGTCCAAACTGTCTACTTTGCAGGAAAGGTATTTTACAGGGAATACCACATATTAATAAGGAATGTGAAATTGTGATGTCATGGTCATGGATAATATTGATATTGTGGAGAACTGTATTCTCTCTGAGAGAATGACTGTTTGTTGTGAATTTCGCTCAAAGCTACACGAGGGCTATCTGCACTAGCTGTACCTACTTTAGCAGTGTAAGACTAGAGGGAAGGCAGCTAGTCATCACCACCCACCGCCAACTCTTGGGCTACTCTTTTACCAACGAATAGTGGGATTGACCGTCACGTTATAACGCCCCTACGGCTGAAAGGGCGAGAATGTTTGGTGTGACGGGAATTCGAACCCGCGACCCTCAAATTGGGAGTCGAGCGCCCTAACCACCTGGCCATGCCAGGCCCTGAGAGAGTGAATGGCCCGACTTGTGAATGCTTCAATAAATACCCTATTTGTCCGAGCTTAATTGAAGGTACCTTTTTCCATAGGAAAATGGGCATAAAAGCTGGAGAGGGTTGGGTCTAGTACTAAGCAAAAAGGTTTGCAGGAAGGGTGTTGGGATCTGTGGAACTCCTCTTCTAGATATAGGGCTTTCACCAATGTGTCAGAGGTCTCTCATATCCACCACTCTGCAGTTATGAGCTCAAGGTGAAGAATGAGAATTGCCTGGAGCACCCAGAAAGTTTTATGAAGCTCTCCACCTGAGGTTAAACCCAGGCAGCGTAATAGTGCTTATGACTGACGATAATTAAACCCCAATTCTAGTTGAAGCTACCCATGCTAGAGAGGGAAAATGTGCCATTAATGAATGAGCTCCATCAATATAAGCTGTTTTTCCAGCAGGCGAGACAACAAACAATAATGGAAGAACCGAGAGTCAGAGGTGTATATTGGCATTAGCTGACTAAAGTCGTCAACATGAGCACTCCCACCTGTTGGGAAATAATCCCTGAAAGATCTCAAGAACAGCTGGGAGCAGGGAATAGAGCTTCCTCATGTAAAGAGACAGCTGGCCATCGAGCCTAGACTCAGGAGTGAAATGTCAATGGTGGTGGACAGCCACCAACAGAAGCTGTTTCATCAGCAGATGATACACCAAGCATTCGCCAAGAAGGACAAAACTCAATTGTCGGGTAGAATTTCTAGGAAAAGAGCAACCAGCCTCCTTGAGGACAAGGAGATAAGTGTAACTGGCAGATAACTTCTACCAACTCAAGCTGCAAAACTAGCTGGCTACAAAGCAGGAAGACAGGACAGAAGACCCTGATCTGTGGGGCAGAAAAAACTGTCCTCGAGAGAGAAAGTGAGTCACCAAGGTGGCCACAAATCGTGACAATTAATTCTAACTGTAAAACAAATTAAATTTGAACTCAAGTCAACTTCCTCTCACCCCTGAAATCACTTAGGTGCCACACTAACACCACAACCCGTAAACAGAGTACTAACTTGAAACCTTTTATAAGGTAAATTAAAAATCAAAAGACATAGTGAAGCAATCCTTGAGAAGATAATATACAAACCTTTCATTACTTAATTCAAAATATAAAATAAATAGAGCACAAAGTAATTACAGAATACCTGATATTCAACCAACATTGAAGTTTACATGCACAAAAAATGCTATAAAAATACATATTACACTTTAACATTAAAATTAAAAACTGAACTTTTTAAAATATCACTTAATCCAAGCAACGTCAAAATTCTCTTTCCCACAGACTGCCAAATATAAAGTATAAAATATTAGAAATGACGTTAACACATCTTACAAAACACTTTGACAAGGAATATATAAAAGATACCCTTCCAAATATTAAATCATTACACCTCACAACATTAAATAATCTCAAAACAATATTTAAACAATGAAACTCAATAAAAAATAAAAATTAAACCTTTACACTAAAAAACCGTTACATAACAGAATTTAATAAAAATACAACCCTTTCATAAACGCATAAACTTCAATAATCTCCACAAACACTAGAAGAAATATCTTACAAGCTACATTATCAAAATATCCAACCAATGACTGAAATTAAATGCATTAAATTACAAGATACATGTATAAAATATGACTAGTTACACTTTGTAGTAATATAATATTTTAAAAATTGTGTACACAAAGGACAAAATACACAGATACATATATAAACAGCCCTTAAATAAATCAAAAAAAATTCAAAATGAGTATCAACCTCAACAGCAGAAACGAGGCTGTACTCCCCTTACCTTCAGTTTAACAATAAGACTACATCCTCTTTACGAGTGATTGATTGTCAGCGTCCTTTACAATCACTTTGGCCTAGCCAAGGCCCACCTGGTTTGAGCCAGCTCTACTTACAGGTAGTGCACAACTGCTTTTAACTGGGAAAGTGGTATTGAGTACCATCACAAGTGTTCTGCCTCGTAGTTTTATATGGCTCAGACATCAGTCTCTTTGATGGTTATTTCTGGAAAATATCACTTTAGAATTTGAATTTGCACCACTGCCAGGACTATGGTGATGGGATGGTTTGCAGCTTGCCCCTCGTCTGTCATTAAGGCAATTCTTATGACCTCATGGTTGAGGGCTGTGCAATCAAAGATGGTATCAGGGTCCCACTCTCCAGCTTACAAGTGATTCAGTGATCCCCCTCAATGTTCCTGGCCAGAAATTGTGATGGAGGCTCCAACATTAACTGTGAAGGTTCTCGCTATTGTTGATGAAATTGGCACAATGCTTTGGTTTTTGGTGGTGGTGTTTGCAGCTGGAGTCACTGCTATAGTTGGTGATGTTGCTAGATGAGCTTTTGCCAGAACTTCGGGAAGATCTTTAGCCTTGGGGTGTATCAGTCCTGTTAGAGGCGGGCGCCCATCTAATGTCTTCGCTAGAGTAATTAAACACCCTCCAACATGATACTTTAGGACAGGTTTCCCATCCCCTGGCATCCACCCGGACAGCTTTTTCACTGCTGTTCATGTTCAAGTTAGCAGCTCTGTTTGAGGCTCTTGTAGGCTAGTTAGACCAATGTAAAGGTGGTGCTTGGGCCTGAGAAACTTCAAAGGCAACCTAAAAATCAAGTGAGCAATGCATCTTCATTCATGGACTCTACTGGGTTGAAGTTCAATTTGGTACTTGGATTTTTTGGGTATATAGGGAAGTCCTGTTATTTTGATGAACAGAAAGTCCTGAGCATATTGGTAGTCATCATATTAACTTTCCATTGCAGCATTAACAGAACTTCTTGCTTTCCACTTACAAGAGAATGTCACCTTGGATATTTCAAGTATATACAATGACATTTGTTCCTTACCAATACCTACCTAGTTTGGAGTTCATCTTTTCTTTCAATTGGAATTGATCAGCTATACCATGCCACTTTAATGCAATTGGGTCTTATCAACATTAACATTATAGCAACTTTTAATTTTATGACAGGCCGATTTAAGTCTTTTCTAAATAAAGTCATATACAACATCTTTTTTTTCTGGATTTGGTTCCACTATGCTCCAGTCACTAGATGAATATTTATTCTCAAGACTTCTGTATGAGTATTTCATTTCTTAATGATACAATGACCATCTTTCCTTTTGTCACTGGAAATTCATCCTAAGGTGTGGTAAATGCCATGTAGTATATAAGGATATGCTGGAAATAACTTAATCTCGCATTTACATCTCTATATGAAATCAGTTCCCAATATTCACTTTTTCTCAATGTAAATTACCCACGAATCACGAGGAGTAGAAATCTTCCTACAGTAATAGTAACATCCAACTTTTCTTTTATTGAATTTATGTCCACCTATTGCTCACATCAATTCCTCTTCCTTCCCCTCTGGAAGAAATTTCCCACGTTTTGTTATCAAATTGGGTCGAATAATTGTAGTTGTAGAACCAGTATTGTTTATCCTACTGCAAGGTTTTCTATCAATAAACCCTTAGAATCATGGAAGGTTTTCTTCAAATGTTCTTCAAACATTCCAGCTGAGCTTCGCCTCAAAAATTTAACTAGTCCCTGTCTTTATGATGTCTAATTAGCTCTTTGTTGTTCCTCTGACCTGGGTGGGTTATGAGACATATCCTCAGGGTATTGTTTCTTTGGCTTAATAACTGCTGTTGATTCCTTACAGTCTTGGCTGTAATGGCCATACTTCCCCAATTTATAACAGTTTCCTCTTCTTAGTTTCTCTGACAGAACTTCTTATTCTATACAGGCTTTAATCTATATTTCCTTGCAATATGTCCTTTCAAATCACACACGAAACATCTTTTTTCTTGTGGTCTATTTCCTTGATTCTGTATAACTAGATTGCTTAACTAATCTTTTCAGTTCTTCTAGACTACTGTCAGGGTGAGTTGATGTTTCAATACTACAAAATATACTCTATAGGGTACCTTAAAGAGCTTATTTGCAACTTTGATAGATTTATGTTCCTTTGCCAACTGGGGAGCTTCTTTTAAAGATGTACATCTATTTTGCCAATAAAAGCATCACTTCATGTTGAGCATTTAGGTAAGATAATTTAGCAAGCCTTTACAAATCTTCAATAAATTTGACTAAAGGCTCTTCTTTAGTCTGTACCCTATTCTGTAACTTTGTTTTGGATACTTTGGTGTGTCACTCCAAATCTGTTGGATAAGTCAACTACCAATGCTCTCAGTTGGAAGATTAATTAAAGTTGTCAAAGATAATCCTTTTAAATGAGCAGTAAGATGGATAGTTTGTTGTTCACTTTTCCACCCATTCACATTGAAAATAATGCCAAAATGAACCTGTAATGCTTCCAGTGGTACCTTTCCATCATAGTCCATTTGTTTCTTGATTGACCAATGTTACTAAACTGGCCAGCTAAATTCTGGAACTTGATTTGATAGTATCATGGCTGGAGTAGTCCCGTAGTAGTAATAGATGTAGACCAAGTAAGTTATCCTGTCCTATGATTTATAGTAATTAGTGTTTTAGGTTGGAATTATTAGAGAAAACACATAAAGAGATGTGTCTGGTTTAATCTTTGTATTTACAGTTTTTTCCTGATGCTTTATTCTGTCATAGGTTTTCGTACTTTTATGATTTTGTCATCACAGCTTCTCTGTACTTCTTCGCCATATTGTTGTAAGCTGTATATATCCAATAGCTTCATCGATCTTGTCTTCACTCAGATTTATTTTTTAATTCTTCTTTAAGCATTACGTCTCTCTCTCTCTTTTAACTCCTCTCTTAAATTCTAACCTCTTGTTCATTTTTCAATTTCCTATCGATTTTTTTTAGGTTTTCTCTATATTTTCTAAAAAAAATTTCTTGGTCTTATTTTATTTATTCTATCTCTTTATTCTTGATATTCTTTTACTTTCTATCCCTAATTTTAATTTTCTTCAAATTTTCAGTTGGTCTCTTTCTTCTTGATCTTCTCTCACTTTCTGTCTCATTCTACTTTTAATTTTCTCCCTTTCTTCTGGTCCATCATTTATGATAGTGTTTCAATCTCACTTCATGATCTGGTTGTCCTCATTTTAAAATTGAAGTTTAGTCAAAATTATATTATATTTTAACCAAAATAATCTCACTTCTGGCACCAGTGTTGTAATATTCTAATGTTGGGCGGGTTCCCTTAGATAAACTCTGCAACTAAATGTAAACCTAATTTCAAATACAACGTTTCAGTACAAATTTCGAGACGCACTCTTATTAACTTAGCTACTCTGCTTTTATCGTTAAGCAAATACACAACTCACCAAGTAACCAAATATAATGGAACAGAAACAATAATTCTCTCTCAATAACTTTTCTGATACTCAACTAATTCACTCACTAAATATTCAGTAACTTCTCATTAAATACTTTATCAGTTTCGCAGTCTTTCATTTATATATATATCTATCTAATGTACCCATGTCGAAGTTATTAGATTCGGGACATATTGGGAACTTTCCAGGTATTTTAGGAATACTTTTATGAACTTATTTAATCTTAATGTCATGTGCCCTCTAGCAAACATCTAAATTAAAACAATGATAATATAGCTTACCAAAAACAATATTCTTATGTAACTAATGGCAATAAAAACGGTAAACAAGAAAGGAAAACAAGAATCCTAGGTAAATTTATTGCACTGGAAATATTTTTAGTACTGTGATGTATCAGGTAACTACTAGTCATTAATTTAAAGCTATTTTTCTGTTGTATTCTACATATAACCTAGTACAACCTAGCATAGAACTTCCATATGTTTACTCTTTTTCTGACCTTGGTATTTTCGACCCCACATATGTTATATTTATATCATCAAATACTAAGCTATATTAAAAGTATTTAAACAATGACCATAACTTAACTGTTAATGGGACTGAGATAAGCTTCGGCTTTTTGTCAAAATTAAAAATTATTCACTTTGACCTCTTCGCCACCTGCCTACAACTTGAGCATTGAACAACAAATGTTTACATAGAACACCATATTCACATTCGTTGTATTTAATATATTGTTACAACAGCGGAAGTCACGTGACGTTAGTAACACGTCATGATATTCTCGAAGGTTCGTGAATGCTCGAGTGTTTGCTAGATGTGCGGTATTCTTGTATATAAGCGCGCCAGACAATGAATTGATATAGAACTGCAGACAGACAGAGACGGACAATTGAGTCAAGCGCGGTTGTAAGTAAGTGCGTGAATCGTTCGTTGAGAATTATAGCGTGTGTTTAAGTGTATTGCAAAACTGTATTGAGAAAGAATAAACTATTTTTATTTAAGAAAGACTTGTATCACTGAAGTTCTTCGGAAAGGATTTCTACGGAAAATTAACAAACTACCAGAGACGTAACAATATCAACAAAACAAATACCTCTAATATCATATCTTAACAATTTTTACCTGACATACCCAAGAAAAAGTAAATAACGTAGACAAAGAATCATGAAGAATAAACTCCCAAAACCAATACAATAAAATATAAAAATTTTGAGAGTGAGATTTATGCCCTTCAATATTATGTGTGAAAATATATTACCTGATATAGCAACTAAAGACCCCATTACAGAATCCATCAATATAGATATGTCATGAAGACCTTTTTTGGTAAGAAAACTAAAAATAGAAATAAACGTTGAAACATTATTCAATAAAATATATATTTCCTTGATATTGTTTAGAATAAAATATATCCTAATGTTTGCAAGTTTTGCAACATACATATTTGTAATAATAATGCCAGATGATTAAACAAACATCAAAGAATATAGATAATAGGTGAATAAGATTCATATCTTTGTCTGAAAATACTAATAAGGCATTTATAAAAAAATATTCATATCAAGTGAACAAAGAATTATTTTCATATCCATAATTAGCTCCCAGTGGAAAAGTGGTATGTCTGCAGACTTATACTGCTCGAAACCTTAACTAACACTTGTATATATTTTACTGCTATCCTAAATTTTAACGTATGTGTAGGATACAGTAAATCTTTGAGAAAAAAACAACAATATATACATTAGTTACCATGCGTGAATATTTCGCACCCACAAACAAAATAAACATCTATGAATCAAGGAGTTACTACACTTAAAAAGTTGTTTTTTTATCACAAACTGCAGGGAATCTAATCCTAGATATTAGCATTGTCAGTGCGGAAAGTTACTGTTGAGCCACCTAGGTTTTATTTGTTTGTTAGTTTTAGAGCAAAGCTGAATCGAACCCCGAACCTTAGCATTGTAAGGTCGTTAACTTACCACTGACACATTGAGCAACTCCCCTTGCAGAAGCTATTGAGATATTTCACAATTTGTATCTTAACTCAAACTTTGGTAATCAGGAATTATACGAATAAATGAGTTCAGTTTAACAAGCAAGCCATAAATAGGGGTAATCTTATTCGCAGAGCCAACAAGTAATGCTTATCAAACCTGTTATGTTACTTTTATATCAACTTCTTTTCAATAAAGTAATAATTGATAAATGCCTGTGAGTAGTAATAAGATTTGATTTTAAGTTATATTTCTACATTTAAATTTAGACAAAATACCTCTATGGGCTGTGGCTGTACCTGCTGTATGGGCAAAACTTCCTCAAATGTTTTGATCTTTCGACTTGTTTGCTTTTCGTTAAGCACAAAGTTACGCAATGGGCTACATGTATTTCTGTCCACCTCAGGTTCTGAAACCCGATTTTTAGAAAAATAAGCCTGCCTGCAGACTTACCATTTAACCTGCCTGGGAAGGAGGTGTCTATATTTACTTGAGACCCAGTTTAGCTTACTGTCATGTTTAGCCATGCTTTCTTTTGGCCTATATGTATAGTTATTAATATTTCAACAAAGATATTGAGATGCTGTTTCTAACTATAATCTCTTTATTATGCCCCTTAAATTAACATAACTTTTCTGAAGTTGTGGGTATTTTTAGAATGTCACTATTATAAAAGAAACGAAAAATCACAATAATCTAAGAACCCAATGAAATTTAATTCCATTAATAATATTCTATGAAGTATGACTAAATTTTATGGGTTGATTAAATAATGTTTTAGAAGCATTGCATCATATATTACTAGTTAAGGCAAGACCCTGGACATGGGCACTGAGTGACCGCCTCAGGGGGAGAGAAGATGGTAGAGATGTCATAGTTACATGAAGTGGCACCAATGCGCATGGAATAGCACCAGATCGTTCATTTGTATGATGATCGTGCAGATAGTTTAAGAGCGAACCACCAGAGGCTGATGTAGATCAATATGACATTTAACTTTATAGTAACAATTAAAGTCTTAAAACTAATAACTTAATCTAATATTTTTAACGTTGTGTTTACAGTCATCAGAACTGAATTTTTTTTATCACAATTACACTCTCGCTTTTTAAGTTAAATATTAAATCTGCTATTTTATTCTTATCAACTTTAAAGTTTTTTATATTTTGGACGGTATTTCTATAGTTGGTAGATGGATGTTATTACTCGGCAAATTGTGTTACTGAGGTTAGTGCTGCTACAGCAGATGGTGTTTCTATAAATGTAGGGTGTCTCAACATATGTTTACATCATCATCATTCTACTTTAGAATTAATTATGTGTCCTAAAAGTTACAAGTAAAACCCTTATTTCAATGAAACAACTATTATAACACTGTTACATATGTAAATGTTTATGGTGGATATTTATTCATTATTTGAATGAGGTAGGTATTATATCCAATAATTTACTTTACATTATTTTACAATTATCTGTCCTGAAATGTAAATATTGAATGAGACAGTTAGTGTTTTAAGTATTAATTTAGTATGCATTTAACATAATGATTATAGATTTCGATTTAATATTTAATTTGCAAGGCATAATTTTTGCTTTTCCTGACATTTTATATGTAAAATACTTAATGTTAATTCATTTCTATAATCAATATATTGTTACGTCTCCGTTCGTTAGTTAATTTTCCGTAAATTCGTTCCGACGAAACTTTAGCCACTCAAGACCTTTCTTAAATAAAACTGGTTTATTCTTTCCGAATACAACTTTAGTGATACACTTAATTTCAACAGTCGCTCTATAACGCTAGAACGTCTAACGTGCTCGTGCTCGACAATACTCAATTACACACTCTCTGACTGCAGCTCAATTACTCATTACCTACACATTGTCCCGTCGCGTTTTGACCATCTTATATATATATATACCAGACTACCCC